AATGAACTGGGTCGCAAAGACAAAAAAGTAGCGACCTACGTTACCGCAGAGAGCTGATAATGTTGCTGCCGTGATTTTTGAATTCGCGCAGGCGGCCCACACGCATTTTCACACACTCCTCTCCTACCCCTCTGTACTACTCCGCACGTGGGACTGTTTACCGTGCTCCGTGATATCCATGTACGGGCCTACGGTGTGTCCGCGCCGGGATCAGGCTGTTTGGAGTCCCGCCACGCGCTCTGACACGCATTAAGCAGACGCTTTCTTGCATCGTTCCATCATCCGACATTCCCATTTCGGGAGTAAAGTTATTATTGCACCCATGGGGTGTGGGTGACGATCGGACTTGTTTGAATTTTCCGCAAGTTAGTCTAATTTTATTTTCATTTGTGGTTCTGCCTTTAAAGTCAATCTATTGAATATCGCACCAAATAATTAATCTAGCTTCACGCGGCTTTAAGTCCAAAATCATGTAAAAATAATTTAAAAATCGAATATAAACACATTGGCCAGAGATCTGAAAACAAATTCAGTCCGTAAATCGTTAAGTTACCCCGTGTTTTTTTTTGTTATCTGTCTTGATCTTCGTATTAACAGCTGTGGTGATCTTTGGGTATGCTCTCCTCATAAAATAAATAAATAAATAAATAAATAAAAATAAGCCAGGCTGTTTGACCGAGAAAGAAATGTAAAACTGACACATTATCGAATTCATATTGTGGCCACATAACTGTATTGCACTTGTCGTCTTCGCAACAGCCGGCCCGTAGCCCATTACATGGAGAGATAACTGAATCAGATCGCCGCCAAGAGACCCACTTGAAGTGAACATGTGCACACTCATTTACATTTAGCGAGAAGTGTCGGGGCTTGTCGACGATAATACTACAAGCTTGGCACAATTATGTGTGGTTTTTGTGGGCTGTCTAACTGCGGACTTCTACCCATGAGACCTCACGGCATGTTCCTTTCCCCGTCCCCTTCAAGATGACCGTTCGTTTAGTTCCACAGCAACCCAGCCGGAGTTGCTGTCTGTCCGTCTCTTAAATAAAGAAAACTAAATTAATCTCTCCATGGAAACTATGGCAACTCAAACACATCTGTTTGTTTATGTAATTCAGACGTTATTTAGCCATCAGTATGTCGAGGCTTGGGCAAACAGCAGCGTGGACGGAGGGGACGGTTTGGCCGTGCCAGCCGGGCGGCCCAACGCGCACCTCACCGGTGTACTGCGCCAAACCCGGGGCCAGCATATTAGACACCGCTGTTTTAATTAGTCCGTTTCCCCCAAAGTATTTACATGAAGTATTCAGTTTCATTCAGGTTGACTTACGCTGTTCGACTATATACAGCAACTGCATCTTTACCGAAAGATATATGTGTGCAGAAAGAAAATTGCATCAAAGGGCAGAGTGGAAATTGCACACAAAACACAATAGAGGATCGTCTCCTCTCTCCCCCCCCCTCTCCGTACAGTCTACTTGGCAACGTGACCAAATACACTCAGCAAATATTTGGCTAACTCTGAATGGTTACCATGGAAGCCGTTGATATTGAATCACCACCTTATCCTCGGCTCTGTTGTCATGCAGAGAGCATCCCACTCCCCCTTTTGGTTTCTCTTTTTCTCTCGCGCTGCCCACGAGACCCTGCTGGGGAACGAATTAAACATTAATCTGGTGAGTTACTGCTCAACCACGGGGGCCGAGCGAGAGATAGGCCTGGAGGGTGCTTGAGGATGCATCGCGAGACGGTGTAAGGAGGCCCGGCACCCGCTGAAGATGCGGTAGGGAAGACCGGACCTGCGCCTCCTAGACCACACTCTGAAAAACACGGGCCCAAGAAAAAGCCCAAGCGAGGAACAAGTGTTGACACAGTGAAGCGAACAGATGGAAAACAGCACGGGGAAGATGCCAATATAACATCACTGATGTGTTTTAGGTGATACATCAATCTCAGAGAAACCCAGGCTAACTCCGGACTGACAATGGTCACGAATGACGCTGTATGGTGTTATACAGTTAGTTTGTCCTCTTTTTTTACAGAAGTTTCATGGGGCACAATTCGACCCTTGGTACTTAGAAAAGCAACCAATTTTGCTGCTTGTGTAAAACTTACGAAACATTTGGCATGATTAAAATGGGTGTGAGTTAGTCCCCCGAAAACCTCACACAACCAAAACGCGCCTATTTTCAGATTCCTGAGTATTAGATCAAAATGGATCTCGCGTTATCTGCCAAAAAAATACACACTCAAATATCAATTTGCTAGCCCAGAAAGCACTCCATTGCACTTCTGCCATTTTCATAGCGCCATGGAAATTGCCTTGGAATGAAAATGAACACACGGGCAAATTAATATCGATTCGATTGTGAACGGCAAACAGTGGAACGTTCAAGCCAGTTTGCGACATGAAACAAGTGCTGTATATAAGCTGCGTGTCAGAGAATTCCTCAGTGTTTCTGGGCGAAAGTGCGGGGCCACCTGTCAAGATAATGGACGTTCGATTTTTTATTTTCTCCTATGGTTTGTCGATTTGCCACAACCCATTAAGTCAAAAGTAATACAATTTTGAATACCGCTTTCAGTCAATAATAAAGTACGATAAATGTCAAAAGCATTATTAATATGAATGGGCTGGCATTATTGAGGAATGAATCACCAGAAATACCCGCGTGAGAGTGTTCTTTCGTGCAAGGTTAAATGCACCTGATCAGCTGTAAAGTGAAAAAGATTCAACATTCATTAACCGCACATAATTTCCGAAACAGTCTGCTATAATTTTGCTTCTTCTTCTTCTCAGAACCACACAACTCAGTAAGAGATATCATTCACAATGTGTTACCGCAAACCCCCTATTCATTATAGAAGTCTCCTTCGTCTCGGTTTGTTCTGCTCGGCCAGGCCACACAAGAGATTACTGGATTGCACTAATTAATTACAGTTCAACACATAGAGTAAAAAGATAGGTGTAAACAGCTGAATATACAGGGTGAGTAAAAAAAACCCGAAACCCAAATGTTGGGACCTTTGTTTTAGGGAAGTTCTGCATATAGCATTTTTAAAATCTAGGATATGAATGCCCAATTCATAAGTTTTTTTGGTACAAGAATCATTCAAATCACACATGTACTTTTCAAGTTACAGAATTTTAAACACAACCACCGTTTTAAGGTTCTGTCCACGAATCACAAAAATGATGTGCGTTCTTTCACCAAACCGAAAACAATTCACACACATAATGCGATTTCTTTTCGTTTTGCTGAAAGAACACTGCACTTTGTTGTGATCCATGGACAGAACTTTAAAACGGTGATTGTGTTTAAAACAATAGTCCCGACTTGTGGGTTTCGGGGTGGTTTTTTTTGCCTCACCCTGTATATAGTTGAAACTGACTTAAGTTAACAGACCCATTTTATACGGATTGACCAGGAGTCCGCAGTGTAGGTTACCGGTATAGTGAATGTTCGAGCGAAAATGTCCAATATAAATATGCAAGCTAAAGCTGCAAAATGGTGAGTTTCAACTTATGCAAAACGTAAACGTGGGGAGTTTAGAAAATCTAGGATTAAACTGTAGCTCTATTCTTATTTTTTTGAGCCCCTAAACTTATAAGGTTAACCTCACCCTCCTCGGCAGAGGATGTAACATTTGAGGCTTCGAAGAAACAATAGACTGACGTCACTCATCGGCTGAAGTAAAGAAGATTGATGATTTCTGTTTCACTAAGAATAAATGTTTTGCTCAGGAAATAGAAAAATTGTTCAATTCAAAAAATCATAAATAATAATGAATTAGGCCCGAGTATCGAGTATCATAAGCAGCCTAACATAAGATACCCTACTAGACGAAACAGCAGGAATGGTGGGAGAGGCAATGGCAACACATATAAGCTGGAGAAAGACGGGAACGTGTACTTCTTTGACGAACGCACACATGTGCTGCATGTGCTGAATCAAAACAACATTAAAACAGTATCAATCATTGTGTTCTTGGACCGTCAGTTAGCATTTTAGCTGAGCGGTAGAAAGTAGGCCAGACTGGATCGCTTGATCCTTTTTTCTTAAGCGGTCAGTTGTTTCATTCCGCTGTGATCGTCTGGTTCCGGGTGCACCCCTTGCCCGCCTCTGTTACCCTCTGTGACGCGGACCTCACCCGTTGACCCCGCCCTCTGGCCCTTCCCTCCACTAGCCTTCTCTCCAGCTGTGACACGTCACATAAATCATTCCAGATCATTAGTAAATGTCACACCAAAGAGATGTCGAAGGCAAATAGAACACACATAAATCCATCACAAAATAGCCGTTGGGTGAATATTCCATCTTGAAGCTATCCACGTATAAACATGGCAGGCCTGAAATTCGTTATTTCTCTTTTATGGATGTATCCAAGAACCGCTTTGAAAAGTGGATTGTCGCCACCGTTTTCATTGCAATGCAGTTGTCATTGGCTATACGTCGGTCATGACTATTAATAATCCCCAGGAATTCGGTAATCACCACTATTGGTATTTTCACAATCGCAACCATCACCATCATCACCATTTCTGCACCACCTCGAAATTAAGGCTATATGAGCAGTCAGACTGAGTGTTAAAGCAATTGGATGTTTCTTTGTGTGGTTGCTTCTAACCCTTTTTTTCGGTTGACAAAGATGGTAAACAAAAGGCGACACCGTCATTTACAGAAATTGTTTTCATGAAACTCTTGCGAAGGAAACGGCTTTTCCATAGTCAAAATACGAAGTCCCTCGGAGCCCGAAATGCATTTTGCTGGCACTCATTACATTCGATCCATTTATGGCAATCGTAGTTATGAATGAGATCTCTGTCATCACACACACACGCACATCAGACTGAAATGACAACACGGTGCGAAATCTGTTGGCTAAGCCGATTGGTCCGTGCTAGGTCACATGCTCACCTGGATTGACAGTGTGCGCCTGTGCCGAGGACCGTGATCACAAGTCAAGCCGCGTTTCATCAACAGCTGCGACGTGCCGCGTAGTAGTGGCTGAGCCCAAATAGTACAAGCCAGAGAGACACGGACTAACGGACGCATTCATTGCGACAAGGTGACCAGGGAGTGACTTAGCTGAAAGGGGAAAAATGGAGAAATCGGCGGCCACCATGGGCCCAACTTTCGCCGATTACGGCGACCACGGAGGGGTATACTCCAGCATGCGAGGGCTAGATTATGTGGGGAACATGTCCCAGGGTTTGTATCACGGAAAGCATTACGCGACCCTAGAGTCGCACGGACCTCAAACTCAGGCGGCGTGTTTCCCGCATCTAACTGATCATAGTGGGCAGAGAATCCATGATTTAAATCCCACGAGCTGTGCTCTGAATTATATATACGGTGGTGCATCGTACGCCTATGGGGGTAGCGAAGCAAACCATTACCCATCACAAACGGGGACAAACGCATCAGACAGTAACACTAGCGGTCCCGATTTTGCTCCTCATATCCAACGGCATGTGAGGACAACATCAACGCCCAGCGCACATTACAACGGCAACTACAGCGAGAACGCGACAAGTCTTAACACCACACCGACTAGGAGCTCTCGGCTGGATCAGAGCAACGATTCACGGCCAGTCACCAGTGAGTCAGACCGGCAAACTACGGCAGCCACGGCACCTTCTGACCAGCCAGCTAATGGGGAGACGGGCATGTACAACTGGATGAAAATCAAGAGAAAACCGCCTAAAACAGGTAATTTAATCTTCAGACATTTAGCTCTCTATTTCTCCAACAGGTGGATTTGGATCCACACGATGTGCAATCTGTAAATGATGTGGCTATGCATTACACTCAGTCATATTTCCCGCCATTCTCATCAGCAATGCTTAATTATATAGAGGTCTTCCTAGACGGGGTCACCATTTTGCACATCACTGTCATGTTTTCATACATGGTTTCAATGCAATCTTTAACGCTATCGACCTTCATAATTCAACTTCCGTCGGGGCCTCCCTGAACCCATTACGAGCGAAAATTGCCGCCTGCTTGGCGTTATGAAACGGTGCCTATCGAACTAGTCATTTAAAACAGTGTACACAGGTTGCGCTTGCCCATCAGGTGAGCAAGTAGTGAAGCAAGAATTTCCCGAGTCTTGTGTAAATTCGTTTTGCCCGGCCTAGGCACGTGTGTGTCGTGGCCAGCCGTCGTACTTTTGACTTCTCATTGCGGCTATTGCGCGCTCCCCGGCTGCTAAACAATATCACGGTCCCCTGGCCACCGCGGGAGCAAAACGGCCAGAGCTGTCACGGCAGGAAAATCTGCAAGAGTACGGTCTGCTGGGCTTCCGTATCTAACAACTCCCGGGCCGCATAACCCGCAAATGAGATATTCCACAGCCCCCAAACGCTTTGCTTTTTTCATTGACGCTTTATAATTTGCGGTCCGTTTGTTTGACTGTAGTAGACATGAAACCGCGCTGACTTTTTTTCTGTGTGTGCTTTGTAATCATTAAATGGAAAAGCCAGGTTTGCGTGACGAAGCCTTTAATATCCGAACGGCACGTAATTTATGATTCGCTCTTCCAAGCAGATGTGTTTTATATCTGAACTACATCGTCAACCCGCTACGCTTATTGGGCCATGCACGATATAGGTTATGCCGGCACGACAGATCACGCAATGTTAAATCATCATTTGGGTTATAAATTCCAGGAACACATTGTGTTGTGTTTTGTTTTTTTGTCCTTTTTTTGTTGGGGGTGGGGATTTTGCCAGAATTCTTAGGAATGGATCGGCCAAGTACTTCAGTGTCGGGTCGACAGGTCAAAATAAACCCAGGGATGATTAACTGATTTCCTCTTTAATTACAGCGCCATACTCAGTGCAGTCTGTACCTCTTAGGATTTCTTACACATTGCCTTGTTCCAATTAATCACAACGCAGGTATTGGTAACATACCGACAAAGCGGCTACTCCAAACTAAGCCGGATTATTTTAAAAACAGGACCACCGGTAGTCTTCTAGACACTCATTTCTATCTGTAGAAATCGACCTACCTTGTTGCACATCATAAATTCAATTATGATATCCATAAATAAATAAATAAATATATACAATTTAAGTAAAAACTCTTTGTTAAAAAAAGACAACCATAATGATGATAATAATAATTATAGCTGCGTGCGCAGCAAATCTCCTTTGATCTGGAGAGCGCAGTAGAAAATTGTCCTCAAATGCCTGTCGTTGTCTCGTCCATTTCAAGTGCAGATCACTCGAAAATGAATTTTAGCTCATGGCGATTGAATTAGCCTCACATCCCCTCACACACTGCGTTTGATTCGCGATGATGCCAGAACGAGTTGGCTAACACGAAGGGCCAAACATAATGACACTTTTATGATGAATACTGGCACAAGAAAGAGACAGCTATAGAGGGAGAGAGTCTCGATGTTAATGGCCAATGGCCGGCCAAATGGAGTCTGCTCCCGCACGGAAGGTTCGTCGAACATTTCTCTTGTTTTCCCGGTATAGAACGACCCTTTAAGCAAGTCTGACAGAACACGTGCAAAACATTTAAAACTGCTCACTCTTTGTATTTTTTTTTACGAATTTATTATTTCACTTGCATGAAGGCAATTTAATATAATTTCAGCGCAGATGTCGACAATTGCGTCGCCGTGCCGTTTACCCGAAACAAATCTAAATGAGAGAGCTTGAATTCCGTCTTTTTAATTTTTTTTTTTACAATTTCTTTAAAAACGTTTAAACCAACTGGATTTATCATTTTTTATTATACTGAAATGTCGACATTTAAAATATATTTAAATATTTGTTAATATTTAAAATGTGGTATTGATCTACCTTGTTTTCCAAACAGTATATCATACAAAATGAGAGACAACATCGATTTGTTTGGAGATTACTGTGAACACTGAATCTCAATTTTTGGAGCTGACCATAGCGACAAACCCAAAACAAAATCCGAAATCATTAATAGTTAAGTGGTTCTCAGAGCAGAGAGAAAATAGAAAATATAACTTTTTATGTTTCAGTACCATTGGAAAAAGCAAGGTTAAATGCACATAATTCTTACAGCAAATCGTAGAATATGAAGTCCTTCGTGCTGAGATAGGCTCACCGTTCGACTGTATGTCATCGCAATAAGCATGCACTTATGGGGAAAATGTAAACCTCCAAATGAATCAAATGAGATGGAGTGAATAGCAATGACCGATAAAACATGCTGAAGGATTGCCAATATTTCAATGAAACAGACATATTGATGTTCCACTATAAAAAACAACAACGTGATACATGCCTGACTATCTAAATCTCTGACAATACATTATATGAAACGTGACCCAAATGTAATTAGTTTCAGACATGACAGCATGCACGATGCATGAAATAGAGCTCTACTTCAGTGATTGCATAAACAGTGATGGTATTGATTGGCAAACTTTTTCCCTATCGATTCCTTTGTTTTAGGAGTAATATTTTTTTTCAAAAAATATTAAAGCATCTGAGGCAAAAGTGGTGTCGCAATGTTGTCGCTGACTGTGAAATGTAGTCAAAACAATCGCCTTGTATGCATTTTATGAGTAAGCTGGCTTTCGATTGGTTGGTGGGTTAATTCCAGCGAAGATCAGACGTGTGGCTTTCTGTGATGAGCTCTTGCCGTGGTAATTATTGCATGAGTCCGCGGGATGAAGACTCAAGAAGTGTCCGACAAGAAAGCCAGCAAGCCCGCCGTGAAAGGCCGCTCAAATCCCTGTGCAGATAATGTCAGCGTCTAAACCCTCACAGCTCCTCTTTTCTTTGCTCTGGAGTCGAGTCGAGTCTCGCGGATCTCCATCAAACGCGCTTAGCCGCCCGAGGAGCAAGGAGCAATGATGCCCATGAACTACCGGGGGGAAGCAAACTGTCACAGCCCAGGCCTTGCATGCCCTGTATGTGTGGAGAGAGCGCGCTGCAGCGACAACCGCCGCATATTGGCAACTATTACAATGCGTGTACCGACAGCCGCGCCGCTTGATGCCCTGATCAGCCGCACTCGGAGAAATTGAGGGTGCAACTCGATGAATCAGTCGGTGGGGCGCCGGGGGCTGGGATTAGCTCGGCCACCCCAACATTGGCCAACATAAAGAACGTCAAATTTACTTTGAATCGAGCCGATCACGTCGCCACTTGATAGCACGCAAATCTCAGCCCTGAAACCGATACTCTATTCGCACCCTCTCCTGTCTCTTTGTTAGTAAAACGTTCGCTTAGGCAAGGAGTCAGAATTTGGGTAAATATCTGAAAATGACTGATATTGTTCGCTGGGCACACGCGGCGCGGTTTTCGGGCGGTCGAGGCAAAGCGCAATAATTAAACCGATACGCGTGAGTGACCGCGTCCAATTCCCCTGACTGACCTTCCCAGGGCAGGTCTTGACGAAGAGGTCCATTCAACTCATTGAAATCGTGTGGAGGAAAATAATAATTTGCTGTGAAGTAACACTTCACCTGTAGATTGCTGCCAATAATTGCTACAGTTGGGAACACCCAGCGAGGCTAGCATGAGTGCTTTGATGGTCACACACTTGCCCTTAATTTACATGCATAACCCCCGATGTATTCTGTGCATTTTTTTAGACCACAACTTTTGAATCAACTGACCTCTAATATCGCAAACAGGTCCAGTTCAAAATAACTTCCTCGACAAACTACTGATAAACATACATGTATATATTCTGTCCAGGTTGGTCTTTCATATTAGATTCAATACATCAAGAATACTAGAATCATTTTATCATTCCAGTTAATGAAAGAAAACATCCCAAAGGTTCGCTATTGAGTTTATCATGCTTCCCTTCCTTGTAATCTATCCTTATACTCAGATTAAAAAAACTCAAATCTTCCTTTTAAAAAATGTCATATTTAATTATTTCTTCTTTCAAGATTAATTTAAATGATGTGTTAAATTATATATTTTCATGTCTTTTGCGACACAGTTAGAGTGACATCGAACAGTATAAATCTTGAGTTGAATTTAAAATCTTGAAGAGATTTCATTGACTTTTGATGATTTTAATACGATTAAAATCAGGAATAATGAAGTTTTTAAACCTGACCAAAAAGTATTGAGAAACAGCTGAGATTTTTGTATTAATCTTAGAAAGAATTTCAATTAATTTCTTCAACTGTTTGAAGCCAAACAAAAAAAAAACACTACATTGAACTGTGTAGATGCTGTATATTTAGAGTACTGAAATCTCGTAAATCCTCGCGTTGAAGACTGATTGTACATAATGTTGCCTCGGGGTAGATATTGGGCTATCGAATGAAATCTCGACTATCATCATTTCCAAAGCAACGTGAGTAAATACTGATCCATCACTACGCAACAAAATATAGTCCCTTGGAGACGATTCAAAGACAAAAAGAGAGTCAGCAAGTACAATTCGTATCACTTTTTTTGAGGGAACCGACAATTCTTATTTTACCGTGAAAAGATCAAATTCAATTCAATTCAATCCAATTTTAGAAAAGAAAAGGATACATTCAACATAATGATTGTGATTACTACATAGATCTGCTCTTTGTCTTTAACACATATGCGGTTCATTGTGTCAACTACACACTATGGAAAGTGAGGATTTTGCCTTTGTTTGAGAACATGGAGATATAAACCGGCTCATCACAAAACAATATTATTTGTCCAAACAAATAAAACTGCATGGATTAAAGTTTTCGGACACTTAAAGGTGGC